ACCTATTTGAATTAAAACAAAAATTGGGGCTCCTGCAGAGAGTCCTGGGCACGCTTGGCACCAGAAACACTTTACATAGTTTAGTGGGTAGATAGATTGCTTTGAGAATTCCTTTAAAGGGACATACAAAAATAAGGGATTTACTATATATAATTTTAATATACAAGCATTATTTTCTCCAAGTTACAATGCCATGGAACCCTAGCACATAATGCAAACCAGCATAGACAGTGTTCCGGATAGCTTTTAATTGTGAACCAAGCTGTCTTAGAGATTGCATTAATATATGCTATAAATGGATATGTGCTTGCACACAATAATAAGTTCTGTGAATCTATGCCAACAATGGAGGAATTTATCTGTGAAACTCTGCTGACAGCTGAAATCCCTGAACTGTGAAGCAACTCATTATTTGCTTCATTGATCCCAGGAGAAGAAAAGTGATCGGACAAGAAGGGGTTAAAACTTTAGCAAAATAATGTTGAAAGCAGAGCAGGATAACCTGGTCAGTCAAGGTGCTGTGCAATTAGTATAACTCCCCAGGTTAGATAGATGTTGCTAACTTGCTATAATTATTAGATCATCAGCCCTAGATGCAGCAATGCACCAGTAATGAGTCTTAGTCATTCGCACTTTTATCAGTTTTCCAGTGCTATTGTTTATCATTGTTGTGACCTAATTGAAAATGAAAGGGAAAATCTAGGCAGCACAACTATTTATCTTAAAGAGTTAACTTTTCAAAGCTTCTCAAATTTTATCAGGAGCTATTGGTTGGAGTTATGACATCGAATATTATATATAATTCTAAAATATTCAGTGTCAAAGCCCCTGATAAAATTTACAAACATGTATACAAAAAATTTACATATACACTAATAAAAAAAATAAATAATAATTGTATAGTTGTATGTAAATATAAAATTTCTGCAATGCAACTGCAAACAGTTAATCCCCCCCACCCCATAAAAAAAGTGTAAATTGCTGCACTACTTCTTAAAGGGATACTGTAGGCACCCAGACCACTTCAACTCATTGAGGTGGTCTGGGTGCTGTGTCCCTTTTCACCTAGTGCTGCAATGTACAATTTTGCAGTTCGAGAGAACTGCAATGTTAACATTGCAGCTCTAAGTCAGCCATCAGTGGATGTCTACCATACAGCCACCGGGGGTGCTTCCGGAATCCAAACTGACTTTTGGTAAGTTATCTGATGCTGTACGTCCTTGTGCTCTGCGAGGACCTCCAACGTCAGATTTTCCCCCATAGGAAAGCACTGAATGCTTTCCTATGGAGAGGTCTAATGTGAGCGTGCGGCCATTTCCGCGCATGCGCATTAGGTCTTCCCCACCGGCTGACAGCAGGCAATGAGTGTAGGCGGAGCCTGACCCAGCGCAGAGGGACATCGGCACTGGATTCAGTAAGTGGTTGAAGGAGTTTTAAGGGAGCACCTATTAACCCTATAGTCCCAGGAAAACCGCTTTTTCCTGGCACTATAGGATCCTTTTAAAAAGTTCCTACAAAGTGCCTTGAATATACACAACAGGGGAACTTAAACATTGCTGGAGTGAACCTGCCAGTATAAAAAGGTGAATTTTTCCAGCCACACTTAATAGCTGAAACACATCAGTATCTCCATGTTCAACCATAGCATAGTAAAAGTGAATCTAGAGACATGGGAGTCTGGAGTACTAGAATTATATGGGAATTGATATATAGCATTATAGAAAGTGGTTCAAATACAATAATACTATACTTGTAATAACATTTCCCATAAAAATATGACTTTGCTCTGTGCCACTGCTTGTAAAGTCCCTGAAACAAGCAAAGAAACATTGTTACTAGATATTTCTGCTTATTGCTTTCTGCATATTCAGGGGAATCAAATTACACTAAACAAGAAACCTTATAAAATCTAAAGCTGATGACTCCATGTTTAGGACTCTCCCTGTTCTTCACTAGGGATCAACTGATTATCGGTTTTGCCGATATTATCGTCCGATATTCAGTTATCGGTATCAGCTATAATCTTGCCGATAATGAGTCCAAAACGTGCCCCCAATATGTCCTCTTTCCAAGTCTTACGATTCACAAGCCCTGGCCGTCAAAGCGTTCCCATCGGTTACCGCGGTTCAGCGAGGCAAAACAGTGTGCGAATCACAAGACTTTTAGAGAGGAGCTGGAGACCCGGGCATGAAGTAGGGCTGTGTAGCTGCCGTCTAGTCTGCCCTGCTGCTTTTGTGCCAATTTGTTTGCCAATTTTATCCTTCTGGTCTGTAAAAGGTAATTTTCTTTACTGTAATAAAACACAGTTACTCAGTCAGTGGGGGGGGGGGGAATATGGCACTATATGATGATAAAGCTCTGGGTATATATTGGCACTATCTTATAAATGATAATAAAGCCATTGGTAGTCAGTGAGGGAGGGAGTGTTGGTGGTGGATATGGCACTATATGATAAAGCTATGGGTATATATTGGCACTATATAAATTATAATAAAGCCCTTGGTAGTATATTGTCACTATAAAATGATGCTAAAGCACTGGGAGTGGGTAGTATACTAGCACTATACAAATGATAATAAAGCCCTGGGTATTGTATTTAGTAATATATTGGCACTATACAATTGATAATAACAAGCCCCCTCTTGGTACTGGGTGTATGCTGCTGCTGGGAGAAATATAAATTAAAATGAGTTGAGGAAACGATAGTGTCAGCCCAGGAAAGCAAACTTTTTTCTGGCACTATAGAATCCCCCTTTGTCAAGGCCCCGTCCCCTTCTGTCACTTACCTGTTCTGGGTCCAGCGCAGATGACCCTCAGCGCTGGCTCATCTGCGCCCACGCTCCTCCCCCATGGGGTAGACCTAATGTGCGTATGCGAAAATAGTCGCACTTGCATTAGGATTTCCCCATAGGAAACACATTATTCAACGCTTTCCCATGGGAATATCGGTATAGGTAAATTATCGGCTATTGGCTTGAAAGTTCACAGATTATCGGCCCTAATCTGCACCTAATCAGAGTCTATTCTGTTTTTCCTTCTTAAAATTTAAATGTTCATAAACTAGAAAAATGAATCGGCAAATATAACACCAAATTTTAAAGTGTCTGCAGCAGAATAAAAGGTATGACGTTCAGGATATTTAAAAGGACATGAGCCTTTTCTTTTCCGGTTTTAACCTTCAACAACAGAGGATGTGCAGGCACTACCATTTAAAAATCACCCATGGGAGACAATCCATTGCATCTGGAATAGCAGTTATTATTTATCCCTTCCTCTAATGTACCAGAGAGGATAAGCTATGCTTTGCTATCAGCTGCTCACTTACAAAGGATCGTTAAATTATAAGCACTACTGAGCTAGAACTCCTAATCATGATGTATCCTTACATTGTACCCCAATAAGAATGTTTGTGTAACTGCTTCCTTAAGTATGCTGCTTCTCTGCTGTAATGATGGCTACAAAGTATGGTTTTGCATTTTACAACTGAATAATGCATACATGCAAAATCACAAACTGTACATCGTGTACTAGAGATGGAATATTTGGTTTATTTGAACTCTTAACCTGCCTTGGTCGGTACATCACAGCTTTGGCCATTTCAAAGTCTCACTGCCAACCTAGCCACATCCATTGAGCCACAGTGCCCAGTTACCTTGTCTAACAGTTGTGAATTGTGAAACTGTAACAGTGATCTAGATAGGCAGTCTGCAGACAAACCTAGGAATGTCTCATCAAGCTAACTAGTCAACTAAAAAAATATTTTTAAGAGTCCCTTTTTTTATTTTCCTCTTTAAGTTATATTTTGTCAAAAATGACTGAACTATAGTTTAAAGCAATATGCTTCTTAGTTTTTTCTTTTAAAATAAATTGGATAGCAAAGAGTTGCTACTGTATAATAACGAATTGACCAGTAACAATCTGGTGTGTTTCTCCCATTTTATTTAATTTTGAAAATTCATGAAAAGGCATCCTAATAAAATAAAAATAAAAAAAAGATGAAAGATCAAATCAAATCTCTCTAGGTGTAATTATTTAGAATATAACCCCTTCAGGCACTAAGGATTATGTAATACCCTGGGGACAATATGCTATGCGAGTCAGCAAATAGAGAAGAATGTCCTCACCAGTACTAGTGGTATCGTAATTCGAATAAGAAGCACATTCGAATATTCACAACAAAGCAGGGGTAGGAAACCTCCAGCACTCCAGATGTTGTGAGCTACATCTCTACTAATGCTTTGCCAGCATTATGGTAGTATTAGAATTCTGTGCCTACAGGCACCTAATATATAAATATCTGACCCTGCTTATATTACAGTTTAATTCTCCACTGGATTCATAAAGAGCAATGGACTTGATTGGTCAAGAATATTCTCCTTTTTCTTCCAGGCAAACTCTGGGTACTTTTAAAAGTACCTATGTTTAAGGTCACGGTCTTACTTCGAAGAGAAAGGGTTTTTCAATGAGTTATGACAAGTTTGGTAAAACTCGATTTTAAGGTTTGTGTCCACCTCAGAACTAACCCAACTGCAGCTGCCAGAACTTTAACTCATCAATAAAGTCAAAAAGACTTGTTCCAATTGTTATACATGCCAATGCCATGAACCTGTCTCTGTTATGGTTCATAGATGAAGTGATGTCTTGAGAAATGTCCAAATCTTTTTTTTTCTTACACACACACACACACACACACCTGATTAAATCATTTTTATTTTTTTTAATGAACTTTTTAGAAAACTCCTCTGCTTCTGTTTTAGGGCTTACCAATGGATTACACCTGGTTGTACACTAGGGCAACTTTTTTCTTTATGCGGCTCTTATTCACAGAAATGGTTTCGAATATCAGCTAGTTTACTATTGCACAGATGTCTTTTTTTTTTTAAATTGGTTTCATATAGTTGATTTTGACCATTACTACTGTGGTCAAACTAAGCCATTTTCTCAGTCACAAAGGCTTGTTTTATAAGCACACATAATGCCTCCTACCACGAGATCACAGCAACAAACTCCAAATGCAAAGGTCATACCTAGACTCACCTGTGCACCCTTCATTAGCTCTCTTGTGCATGACCTCACAGTGTAAAACACATACCTGATCATAAGCAGTCTAACATCTTTTAGATTGACTACGTTTATGCTTTCCTTCACAGAATGTGCTTTATGGACGGATACAATAACCCTCAAATTAAAACTCCAATGTGTCAGAGTAGAAAGCTTACTTCTGAACCATTTAAGGCTTTATTTATTGCATTTGTGAAATGAAGCTATCTTTGGTGACAAGAGTGCCAACATTTCCCAACCCCTCTTATATCCCCATGTACTAAACAGGGTAAACCACATGGGTAAATAAAAACACACAATATTATTTTCCCATGCCACAAATTATCTGCAAGTCAATTTTAATTAAGATCCCTCTTTGGATATAGATCATGGATATTCTTACTGTGGCCTTGGAATTTGCTGTACAACAGCAACTCAATCTTCCAAGCTGCACCCATGAACAAGGCAGGAAAAATAACCAGTTTTTCATGTTCAGTGAATGAATTACACAGCAAGTGTTCAGTTTTGATAACACTGTACAGCAAGATGTTTCAAATTATAATGCCTTTCAATCCTGTGAAGCATGTTTAACAGCAGTGATGGCGAACCTCTGTCTCCACAGCCGCTGAGGACTAAATTTTCCTTGATGGTTGAATGGCCGAGCAGCATGGGAAAGGTAGTCACAAAACAGTCACAGCGTCTATAAACACAGCCCCCTCCTTTTGAATTTTAACACACACACACACACACACACACAGGATTAAAATCATATATGTATTTTCTGTCTCCAACTGAAAGCAATGTTCCACGTGTGTGCTCTCTTTAATAAAATAATTTTAAAAATTCCACTCTGTATGGAGCATTGGGAATGTGTAGTTATGGTTATAGTCTCTTAAAGAAAAGCTAGAAATATGATTAAAGGGATTTTATAGTGCCAGGAAAACAAAACCTGTTGAAATGATTGGTTCATAGCCAGACTAAACCGCATAATTACCTACACTTTACCTAACCATCTTTAATAAATGTTATTCATTCTCAAAAACACAGTAGGTTACACTTTCAATTTGTACAGCACTGAATGAATACATTACATCACAAGGGACACTACAGATAGAAGTTAACCTGTGTTGTAATGAAATAAATGGGATAAAATATTGGCACTAAATCGATAACGGCAAAATACTAAAAGACCATCTTTAAAACGAAATAATTTGCTGCAAATCTATAATTTGTAGCATCTACAGTAAGTCCTTATTCAGTTTTCAAAGCTAAAGCGGACATTATCCAATAAATCAATGACAGCATGGTTTCACTTTGCAAGGCCATCAAGCTGTGGTGTGTATGCAGCTCCTCGACTTTTTGCAAATGGCTGAAGTTATGAACATTAGAGTTAGGGGAGATAGGCCCCTTCCACCATAACCTAAGGTACATAGGTTGTTATTGTGTTTGTAGTCTTGTAATTACGAATACTTCCTTGTGTTTTCAAATCTGATCATAAAAATCACAGTGGTTAAAAATTAACAGAAAAAAACCTATAAAGATAAAACCTCATAAACTAAAAATGTAAAGCCATTAAAGGAACATCTAAGCCTCTTATAGAACAATATAGCCAATATTTCAAACACTTTGTTTTTCTGTTTCCTCCTGATTGATATTTTCAAGGGTCATTTCCTCTGTCCACTTAACACAACCTTTTGTGTGACCATAACTGGAAATAAAAGCTTAGCCAAACACCAGCCATAAGGGGGGCAACTAAACCACAGAGTACTGTTAAGGAACCTCAATGTTAATTCTGACAGTTTTCCATGGCCTGCAAGGACAAGAAAGGTTTATGCCTCTACATCCCCCCTGCCCTCCAGCACAGCTCCCTCAAACTGGGAAATGGAGATCAGGATGGAGTACCCCACAGCCTTAGAACTGGGAAACTTAGGTTTGAATCCAAATCAGACACCTTATCAGTAAATGTCCTTGGGCAAGAAACCTCACAGAGTGTGAGCTTGTTTGAGAAGAGCCTTGAGACATCCCATTTCTAAAACTGTAAAGCACTGCGGAATACATTGGCACTAAATAAATGCTAATAAAAATATAATCAATTCTACCTGCAAAATTAAAGGATCAATGTTTGAGAGTAGGGCATTGATATATCACTCTGCCTCCTTACCCTGTGGCAGCAATTCAAAAGGATATCACATACAATCTGTTTTGCTAAAGGGCTTAAGTTGATCTGAGAAAGACATTTGGGAAGGAGACAAAAAAGAAAGTAAAGTGAGGAGGAAGTGGGGGATAAACAAATGAGGCAAACAAAGTGTAAAAGGCAGTAGGGTAGAGCTAGTTGGTAAGTAAATGATTGAGGGTTTATAGGGGCTAGAATGGGAGGGTCAATCAACAAAGGTAATCTACATGCATATTTATATTCCTAGCCCTTCAGTATTCCTTTAAAAAACTTTATGAACACTGCAGTATCTGCAATGGATTTGATGTGGTTTTTGAAACAGGCAAACAAAAAATAAAACAAGATAGCTCTGTGTCATATCATGTAATCTCAGTTACTAGGCAGTTTTACACATATCATAACAGGATTATTGTTAGCAAAACTAATGAAATTTGGTTGTGGAGAAAACTCTTAAATATAGGAGACCAAAAGCACTCAATGTGTTGGTGTCCAGAATGTGCCAGGAGTGTCAATTTAAATGGGAGCAGTCACTTCCAAAAACTGAAAATCAATTATAACTTTGAAAACCAAGCATTTCATAAAAAAGGTTTACATTTCTTCTTTAATTTATATTAAAGAATTGGCAAATGACAACAACCCATTTCACTCCAGGCACTGCCAGATGCAAAGGACAGCGCATATAGCAATTATTGAGATGGAGCACTCGTAAGATAAAGAGGTCTATGTATAAAATACAAGGGCAAGAAAACAAATCCTGGGCAGCGTCAATTCCCTCTTAAGACCTTCTACACCCTTAAATCACTCTTTAGATGTTGTGGGGTTGGAAGCTAGTTTATGTTTGAGTGAGTCCATTCTAGTCTGTATGAGAGAGAGTGAGAGATGGCGAGATAGAATCAGATCCAGATAAGGTCATTTGTATATTTCACATAACAAAATTTCCAAAAACTGTTTACAAAAAAAGAAAAAGAAAGCACAATGTGTAAGTATTAATACTTTCACATATTCCGGTAACAGAACATTTGAAAAAAAAGTACTGAAATGATTCAGACTTGTAATAGAACGTTTTGTTTTGTATTCACAGCTTTCAGAGAAACACTGCTGCCGAAATTAATCAACGTTCTCTGCAACGTTACAAAGCAAAGATTAAAAATAGTTAAAATTAAAATAAATAAATATTTGGAAATCTATAAAAATACCATGTCGCATTGTGAATCAAATTCAGGAGAAGTTATGAATGTGTGTGTATTGTTGGTTACCCTAGTATAGTCAGATAAACGGATTGACAAAGATACACAAAAATGAAGCAAATTTTGAGAAAATTTCCTACCACAGAGCCATACTAAGGCTGTGTTTTAACAGATTAGAGTTACTTTATCAGCATCTATCCAAGCTTTTTATAAAATGAAATACAGCTTTGATGTGCATTTCTTTTACAGATTTGCAAGTGCCCCTATTTAGATCCCTCTGTCCCTCTTTTCTGGGAGCTCGTTTATTGTTGGTGAGTCTATAACACCGCTCCACGGCAATAATAAAGAACACTACATTACTGTAGCGGATCGGCAATATTAAAACCCACGAACATACCAGGCCCTCAGGTGTCATACTGTTCGACTTACCCCCTGGACGGCCGAGCACGACTTACCAGAGGGGGATGATTATGATGGCCCGAGTTTATTATGGGATGCCTTGGAGGATGACATTGATCTTGGCAGCACAGAGGGGTCTAGGTTTTTGGATATCTACGACTACCGGATGGGCATGTATGTCTGGGCTGACGAATGCGAGGTGATCAAAGACATGACCCACCTGGTAAGAAGGGAGTGGGAGCTGGAGCAGGACTACCAACACCTGCTCAGCTTCGTGCAGCCCCAACCTACCCGACAAGCAGAACTAGACCTCATTGACTGGTCCTGGGATGACCTCCAGATGGCAGGTAGAGATGGGACTGAGGTCTCTCTACCGGCCCTACAGGGATACTGGGCAGCCAACCCAAATCTCCAGCGACAGTGTGAGTTCCAGGGAGCCGAAGGTGTCGTCCTTCCTCCCCAGCGGCAGTGTGAGTTCCAGGGAGACGAAGGTGCCGTCTGTCCTCCCCAGCGGCAGGGTGAGTTCCAGGGAGCCGAAGGTGTCGTCCTTCCTCCCCAGCGGCAATGTGAGTCCCAGGGAGCTGAAGGCGCTGTCCTTCCTCCCCAGCGGCAGTGTGAGTTCCAGGGAGCCGAAGGTATTGTCCTTCCTCCCCAGCGGCAGAGTGTGTCCTTAGGAGAGGAGACAGTTGGTCCCTCTTCCCAGCGGCTGAAAGTGTGTAAGGGAGAGGAGCTTGTTACCCCCTCTCCCCAGTGGCAGTGTAGCCCACCAAGGGGAGACACTAAGCCCCCCACCAGCGCAGATGGGACCGTGGTCTCTGCGCCCAAGCTACAGGGAGTACGGACAATTGGTCCTGCTCCCCAGCGGCAGAGTATTCTACCAGGAGGGGAGAGTCTCGTTCCCCCTCCCCAGCGGCAGCCTAGCCCACCAAGGGGAGATGATAAGTTCCACACCGGTGCAGATGGGACCATGGTCTCTGTGCCCAAACCACAGGGTGTAGGGACAGTCGGTCCTGTCCCCCTGCAGCAGGGCTGTTTATCCAAAGGGGAGACAGCCTGTCTTCCCCTCCAGCAGCAGACCAAGGTCTGGAGTGAGGAGCCTACTATGCCGTTCCCTCACCTGGGCTCCAACCAGGCTACTCCCATGGTAGCGCTGGCACCAGGGCAGAGTACCGCTGGTCTCTGCCCACCCAGCAACCCATCGATCCAGAGTGCTAGTACCCCCCAGAGCCAAGGTGGAGCTCCTGGACAAGCGACCCACTACTCCAGGTGTAGTAACCAATTTTCGTGGGTGGGTTATACTGCGGATTCTGTTTTGTGGGTGGGTTGCTGGACTAACCAAGGCACTGACCGACAGGAGGTCAGATACCTTGTTAGTCTTTTTGGGAAAGGGGAGAAATGTGGCGAAACCGACCTCGC